ATGCATCGTTCAGTCACCTGTCTGAACCTTAGCTGCACATCAATAGCTCATGCCAATTTCTACTCTTTGCTTTTGTGTTTCTATTACTGGTACTTATATTCTTCTAGTCCCCAACCCTCCCTACTCCCCCAACCATAATTTGTCAATAATCCTGTTTTTTCTTTTTCTCCCATCTCTCTTCATTTTCATTCCCCCTAATTACCCCCATAGTCTGGACATGCACCACTCCCCACTTGTATTGTGTAGCAGCCCCTTAGTCAGGGGTCTTGACTCCACCTCCTTCTTCACTCTGTAAAATGTAGCATATACTCTCATATGAACTCTCTCTGTTCATATGACTGCTATCTGTCCATTCTGGATGCCACTGCTACACTAATCATCTCTAAACATGATTTTTACTGTCTCTTTTCTGTTCAGACACATCTAATGCTGTCTGTTTCTAAGTCGACACTTTTATGCTTCACAGTCATTTCCAAGGACATTCATTAATCTGCAGGACTCCTTAAATGAAATATTTCTGTCTTCACCCCAACACATTAGTATCTTATTATAGTCTCACTCTCAGGTAAATATTGTAACCATTTCATCTCTTCAATCTTGTCAGGTATTTTTTAAAGTTTATTTATTTAAGTTTTTAAAGTTTATTATATATCTATAATACATATATTTATTATATATCTATGTTAGAGAGCATGCACAAGTAGGGGAGGGGCAGAGAGAGAGAGAGGGAGCACAAGAGAGAATCTCAAGCAGGCTCTTCACTGTTAACACGGAGCCTGATGGAGGGCTTGAACCCATGAACTGTGAGACCCATGAGCTGAAGCTGGATGCTTAACTGAATGAGCCACCCAGGCACCACAACCTTACCAGATATTTAAGCCTAATGTGGAGCTTGAACTCACAACCCCAAGATTGAGTCCCATGCTCTACTGATGAGCCAGCCAAGGCACACCCCTCGCCAGGTATTTTTCCTAACATGTTCATCCCATCTTCATATCCAGATTTTGCCCATCGCACCATGCCCCCCTCAGGCACCATGACTCTTAGAAACTACTTTCCTAAATGTCATTAATCTCTCTTGCTCTTTGTTTTGAATCTTGTAACAAATATAGTTTGTACAGCATAAATCACTACCTAGTGTGTGCAACACAGTGTTGGCTGTTTGTTTACAAGTCATTTCCCCTGAATAGAGACCAGGCTTCTGCAGACAAGTATAATTCTTTTTTTTTTTTTTTTTTAATTTTTTTTTTTTAATGTTTTATTTATTTCTAGGAGAGAGAGAGAGACAGCTTGAGCAGGGGAGGGTCAGAGAGAGAGAGGGAGTCACAGACTGAAACAGGCTCCAGGCTCCGAGCTGGCAGTCAGCACAGGGCCCGACGCGGGGCTCGAACCCACGAACCGCGAGATCATGACCTAAGCGAAAGTCGGACGCTTAACCGACTAAGCCACCCAGGCGCCCTGACAAGTATAATTCTTAATATTACTTTTGCGGTGTCTCCTGCACCTAATACAGCACTAAGCCCAAAGTGAGTGTTCAACAATTTCCCGATGAGTAATTGCAGAATAATCAATTGATAGGTATCTTTAGGTGGTTTCAGATTTAATATCTACCATAGTGGCTTTTTTTATGCTATGTTAGGATGGTATTATATTTTCTTAGTTTTAAGTAAAAAGGACATTAGAGCTAATGTATAGATAATTATAATTATATTAATAGTAAATATATAACCTTAAAAATAAAGTATGACATTAGAATAAAGTAGAAGTGTCAAATTAACCTGTAAAGTTAATATGCCATTGTATTCAGTTGATTCCACAAATAGTCATTGAGTGCTTACCCTGTGTCTGGCACTAATTGCTCAATGATAGACAAGAGAGGCCTTATCTCTACTCCTTTAGAGTCTACAGTTAGACAAGAGAGACTGACTTTAAACAAAATTTTAATTACAATAGTTGTCAAGAATTACAAACGATATCATTTCTACAATGGCCATGTGTAACTGCTGGTCTTACCAAGTTTGGAAGGTCAGCACCATCTGAGAACTGTGTGGAGGAGCTTAGTTTTCCACATGTACCTGTCTTCCCAGTGATACCCCACCAGTAAAGGACTCAAGAGAAGCTGCTACAGTCCCATCCCATGCAAAAGTAGTGACAGCAACAGTGCAGGACTGAGATTTTCAGAGCTAAAAGACATACAGAGAATGGGAAGTAGTTGGTGGATGAGGTCGCAGCGGGAACAGTTACTTTTAAGAATCTGTACCCAAGACTAAATTTGGCCACAGCAAAGTGAGATATGCTGTCAAAAAAGGTTTAGATGAAACGTAGAGGATCTTAATGTATCCATTTAAATATCTTAGACCAAATCATACCCTCAGAGACATACACTGGAATACCTTTGGCTTTAGGAGGAAACTTGAGTTTAATGGAAAAGAGATGTCTTTCAGGATTTCATATCTGCTAATGGAGAAGGTAGCTTTGATAAGTTCCTAATATCCATCCTAATTACTGAGAGCAAATATTCCTCACCACTTTGCCTCATCACAGATAAGATTAAAATGAGTTACACACCTTTCACTTCTGACAATAAGAACAAACTATGAAACACTGCCATCTGAAATGCAAAATGCGGTAATACATTTTGTATCTAGTCAAAAACACATCACAACTAAACTTGAAACAGGCATAGAAAGATGTTGAGATTTTGTATACTGCTGTTATACTCCAGAATATTATATTATTCACAAGTATGTACATAACTTTTAAAGTGCAGTTACCTTTCAAAATGAGATAACTACAATGACAATGGAAACTCTCAGTTGTCCTGGTAATTTTGATCTGCTTAAATTATACCTACATCTATACTAGGATGTTTAAAAGAGCAGAATGTTATCCTTTATATTAAGCTTGTTTTCAAGCATGCCAGCTCACCGGATGGCGTTTTACCTGGGAGACTGGTGGTGTACTGCAGGCACACATAGCATACCAAGTTCTCTTCCTTCTTTCTTTTCGGTGTCCCTCAGCCTTGTCCCTTCCCACATTCTCCCTGATCTATGATCATTAACAGTCTATGACTGGATTATGAGAACTGAGCCTGCATTAGCTTGCCAGCCTTGACTCTGACGGTGCTCTAGGATATCTTCCATATATTGATTAATTCATTTTCCTGAAAAATCTCACCCTTATCATGTTATTCTCTAAATCAGGAAAGTATAATAGTTCCATGTGTGTTTTCTTAATCATGAACTTCTGTGCTATCAAATCTCTCCTTAATCTGAGTTACCTATACTCTGTAAAATTTATTTTTTAGGTATTTCATACCATCATCTTCATTCCTCGTCAGTATTCCTTGCCCAATATTGTGCTCACTCCTGCCTCTATAAAGTTTCCTGTATCTCAGATGCCTGCCTTTAGTACCCTCCTCTTCCAAGGCTCTGCCCAAATCCTATATCCCCCTGGAACATTGCAGACTTCCCCCCTTGCCATGGTCTCTTTTCTCATTACAGTCATTTGTCTCTAATTAGCAACCATATATTATTGTCATGCTAGTCACTATCTCTATAATTTTAACCATTTTAAAAAATTCACCATGTTGACCATTTATGTTTTAAATAGAAAGATAGTTACCCCATAAATATTTGAATGAATGATACAGATGCCATAAACATTTTAGTGAATAATTACAATATATAATTTACAGGATAAATATCCTATTTATAAGTATCCTATTTATCCTATAAACATCCTACAGTTATACTCCAGAATGTATTATTCATAAAGATAAACATATATTATTCAAAGTACTGCATTGCTAATTTTATGGGTGAATATCACAGGATCTTAGAGCCAGAATGTTCTTGGTGATCATTTATTTTTTTCTTTCTTTTTTTAATATAATTTATTTTCAAATTGGCTTCCATACAACACCCAGTGCTCATGCCAACAAGTGCCTTCCTTCATGCCCATCACCCATTTTTCCCTCTCCCTTGCCCCCCATAAGCCCTCAGTTTGTTCTCTGTATTTAAGATTATTTATTCTAACTTTATCATTTTACTTAGAAGGTACTGGGGCTAAAGTGACACAATTAATAAGAGGTAGAGGTGCAGTGGACCCTTTCAGCTTGCTTTATGGGTAATACCTTTCTTAGGTTTTTTTGTTTTTGTTTTTTGGTATTCTATGATATTTCCAGGACCATAAGACTCTAATAAGCTCCTGCTATAAGAAGCACTCGTTTTTATTTCTTGTTTTTTTTCCAAAATCTACTAAATTTTTCTAAGATTAGAAAGACTTGAAAAGAATTTGAAATTATAGCATGACAAAGGTGTTTCATGAAGTTTTAGTTATTTTCATTGATTAAGAAAAACACTTTTATAGTACTTTTTCATGTAATTACTGAGCTCTTTTCCACAAAGCAGAATCTAGTGTCTTAATTGTAGCACCTAATGTGCTACACTTATGTCCAAACTTCTTTGAATTTTCAGTATATGTAGTTAAACACATATGCATTGTGTGTGCATTACATGACGTGGCTGTATGTGGCCCCAGTGACCTCTTTGTGGTCTTAATTATATATTACAGAGTTTGGTGCAAAGCTCAGTGAATAAAAGGAAATTTCTTATTAGCCCAATTTATTTTCTATACAAAGGATAGAGATACTGTGTTCAGTGGAGCCCTTTTCCTGATTCTGCCCCTCCCATGTCCTCATCCAGATCTGGGAGAAAGAAAAAGCAGTTTTCTTATAGACCATACACCAGTTCATCTGCCTAACAGCTTGCCACTTGTGCCAATCAGCAGGACAAAAACTTGCTCATTTAATGGTGCAGAATGAATGTATGATATTCTATTCTATTCTATTCTACTTTTCAGACTACATTTTCTGTGAGTCCTAATCAAGTGATACAAATGTGCTGCAATGGTGACATAAACTATCGACTGAGACTGGAAAAGTAGCTGAACACCATCTTTTCTTCTTTTTTATGGTGCTTCTATTGGAACAGTCTGAGGAAAGCATATACAGCATGAGTTTTATCATGAAGCTTCACAGACACTTTCAAAGGACCGTTATTCTGCTTGCCACATTTTGTATGGTGAGCATTATTATTTCTGCATATTACCTGTACAGTGGCTACAAACAGGAAAATGAACCCTCTGAGCTGATGTCAGAAGTAGACTGTGGGGACTTCCAGCACCCACCATACAGGCTCACGGAAGTCAAGACAATGAAACTTTCCGACGCCCTGAAGACAGACCCCACGGTCCTGGTGTTTGTGGAGAGCCAATACTCATCACTTGGTCAAGACATAATTATGATTCTAGAATCCAGCAGATTCCAGTATCACATTGAAATTGCTCCTGGAAAGGGGGATCTCCCAGCACTTACAGAAAAAACTAAAGGCAAATATATTCTCATTATTTATGAGAATATATTAAAGTATATAAATATGGATTCTTGGAACCGAAGCCTGTTAGATAAATACTGTATGGAATATGGTGTGGGTGTCATTGGATTCCACAAAACTAGTGAGAAGAGCCCACAGAGCTTTCAGTTGAAAGGTTTCCCTTTTTCCATATATGGAAACCTTGCAGTAAAAGATTGTTGTATTAATCCCCATTCTCCGTTGCTTCATGTGACCAAATCTTCCAAACTTGAAAAAGGTTCTTTACCTGGAACTGACTGGACAGTGTTCCAGATTAATCACTCAGCCTACCAACCAGTAATATTTGCCAAAGTAAAGACTCCAGAAAACCTTTCTCCTCCCGTCTCTAAAGGTGCTTTTTATGCCACTGTCATATATGACTTGGGGCTTCATGATGGAATTCAAAGAGTTTTTTTTGGCAACAACTTGAACTTTTGGTTGCACAAGCTCATCTTCATAGATGCTGTCTCCTTCTTGTCAGGAAAGAGGCTGACACTGTCCTTGGACAGGTATATTCTTGTGGATATTGATGATATTTTTGTGGGAAAGGAGGGAACAAGAATGAACACCAATGATGTTAAGGTAAGGCTTTTTATCTCAAAGTTTCATGATTAGGTCATCTCTCAGTGGGTTTACCAACTGTCTCGGTTTTTCTGGGGCTAAGGGATTTCCCAGGATGTGGGATTTTCATTTTATTGGAATGTCTTAGGCAAACTGGGATGAATTGGCTACCCTCAGCTATATTTGAGATAAAGGGCTATTTCTTTCTGAATCAAGAAAAATGAAGGTTGTGCTAAAAGACTGAGTGTAGCAGGATCTTGAAATGTTTTTCTATGTGTATGTAAAACTAGAATAGACACTGACTTTTTTAATTAACTTTCCAGAAACTATCTACCTTAGAAAACTCTTACTGACTTTAGTTAATTTAAATATGAAATAAAAGTGAATTTGTTTTAATGAAAATAAGTACTCCCACAAATTTTCAAGAATTAAAGATCTCATAAGTAGCAAGTTCAGATATTTTTGGAAGTCAAATGTTCAACTCATTTTCTCTTATATTTTTTTCGAAACTGAAAATCAGCACTACTAAATATGGAGAGCTGTGAATATAGAAGCTTACTTATTCATATATAAACATAAAGATTAAATCAAGTTTCAGAATTCATTGAACACTTCTGGTACATATATGAAGCCCATTATGCTGCATTTAAATACTATTCAATTTCTAATTGTGTCAAACTGTTGCCCTTAAATAGAAAACACTTATTTGAAGATAATTGATCATTGTGAATGAATTGTGTTACATAAACAACTAGTTGTTTAATATTAATGAAACTTAAAATTAAAATGATCTACACTTATCTTGCTTTCCAATTCAAAATACTATAGGTTTCTATCTTCTTTATACTGCATAATGATTTCTCATAAAAGTGAAAGGAGAGATTTTGATACATACTTTTTTTATTCTGTGCAGCTTTGACCTTCTGGCAAAATACAAAGGACTAAATCAAAAGGAAAAAATATCTTGAAAACTGCATTCTTTTCTATAGACACTATACATCTGGCAAATAATAATAATGTTCATTATACTAGTTAAATCACAAACTAGAGGGACGATTGAATGTTACAAGAGTGTGTGAAAACTGAAAAGAAAAAAAAGTCCATATTTCTTTACAATATTTTAGACTCTTCTTTTTAACTCAATAAAAATGAATTAATAAGGAAGTTGTGCTTAAGTTTTCATTAAGTCTTATGAATATGCTTTGAGAATTATAGCTAAATTAAAACCAAGTTGGTAGTTTAAACATTTTGCACTTAAAAATTACAAACAGTATATAATTCTCTTCTAATTTTTTCACTTCAAAATATTATGATAAAAATGTTTTTAAGGTTTTATTTTGAAGAATAATTCTTTAAAACTGGCAAGATATATTGTTAACACCATTTTAAAATGTGCTAGATAAATCTCTCAGTTTTATATGCAAACCCTACTATATCCTCTAAAGTTATACAAAATATAAAACACCTTCAGTGTTCTCAAGTTTAAGCCATTTTAAGGGGTACAAAAAATTAAACACATTACAATTGAACACATTTAATAAGAATTCAGCATGTATAAAATATTTAATGAATTGCTCATTTAGATGGGAATATAATTTCTAACCAATCTGAAGGCTTAAAAAAAGTATATTTAGAATTATTTGGGCTTTTAAACTTCTAAATTATATCTTAGATTGAGCATCTAAACACTAATTCATTGTATGCGGTTACCCTGAGAGTCTAAACATTTGCTTCCTCATTCTTTCCTTCTTTCTTTCTTTTTTATTTATTCATTATGTAACTAGCTATTAAGCATGTACTACATGTGAAGTATTTTTGATAATATGTAGATAGAATCATAAGCCATAGCCCCATTTCTTTAGAAGAGAGGGTGGGGGGAGGATAGTAATAAAGCCAGAAAGCACATAGCTGGTGATTGGGTTGACCATCTACCTGAGCAGTAACTGGGCAATACCACATGCCGGGCACAGAGGCGTGCACTAGGGATACAAAGGTAAAAAAAACATGACTCCTCTCTTAAGAAGTTTACAGTCTTAGGGGTGGGTATGGGCGCTGATAAGTAGGTAATAGTTTGCTTGTGGTAAACACAACAGTAAAGGTGTCTACATGGGTTATAAGTAACGCTGTGGGAAACACTATACTGTGTGCTATGTACCTGAAATTATTAAGTCCTATTAAGTAGGACAGATTTTGAAGGCAAGGCTAGAGCAATATGATGATTTGGAAGGCTGCAGCAGTGATATTTCAGACAAAAGGAAATTTCCTGGAACTAGGAAATGATAAAGAATGGAGAGAAAATGACCAATTTAAGAACTATTTAGGAGATACAATTGAACAATTGACTAATTGGATCAGTGGAGATGAAAGAGAATATAATCAAGGATATCATTAAAAATTTTACCATAGGTGAATTATAGTTGGTTATTCCAACAACAAAGAGGAGAGAGCAAGAGATAATAGTGAAGGTAATTAGACGCCCTATTAAAAATGTTAAATTATCAAAGTGCATCTGAGGTATACAGGTACAGATGTTTAGCAGGTAGTTGGCTCACAAGAGAAGTCTGGATAGCAAGTATAGTTTCCACTTGAGAATGGCTCAAAGCATGAAAACATGTGAGATCAACCAGGGAAAGGGTTTCTAGAATAATAAGGGAAGAAGCCAGAGTATAGAATCTTAAGAAAAATCATCTTTAAGGAAACAAGTGGAGATGATCTCATTAATAAGAGTCAAAAAGAACAGTATCAGAGACTAAGAAGCCATGATGTTATATATACAGTAGCCCTCCCCCGCTTTTATCTGTGGTTTTGTCTTCCATAGTTTCAGATACCAGCAGCCAACCATGATCGGAAAGCAGATGATCCTCCTGACTCAAGGTCATGAGGTCAATAGTAGCCTAACATATATCACAATGCCTGCGTCATTCACCTTACTTCATCTCATCACTAGGCATTCTGTCATCTCACATCATCACATGAAGGGTGAGGACAGTGTAATAAGATATTTTGAGAGAGAGAGAGAGACCACATTCACATAACTTTTATTACAGTATATTATAATTATTCTATTGTATTATTGTTGTTCATTTTTTTCTGTACCTAATTTATAAATTAGATTTTATCATAGGGATGTATGTATATGAAAAAAACATACATAGGGTTTGGTATTATCTGCAATCTCAGGCGTCCACTATTGGTTTTGGAATATTTCCCCCATGAATAAGGAGTACTAGTATATAAGCCTTGGAGATAGAGAACTTCAAGGAGGGTATGATCAGCAATGTGAAGTCCAGCAGCAGGGGCCACTGAGGTAAGAACTGGCAAGTCTCCTTTGGTAAAAGATGAAGGTTGTTGGAGACTCTGGCAAACTCCAGGGGAATGCAGCCATCGAGGCAGAGGCATAGTTGCAGGAAGTTCAGGAGTGAATTAGAGAGTTAAGACATGGAGAAGAAGAGTGTGGAATACTCAGTGGAGAAATGTTGTTGTGAAGGCGAGAAGAGAAATTAGCTGGAGGGTGAACTGAAGTGAGGGTGACCAACCATCCTGGTTTCCCTAGACTGAGAGCATTCAGTGCTGAAACTGAGTCCCAGGCAAACTGGGATGATATGTCTACCTAACTAGCTCGGGTAAGGGAGACTTTACCTTTTATTCTCCGAAGAGAGATCAAAGAGCATGTGATCTAGGAAAAGGTTGTGGATATGGTAATTAAAAGTATGTAATTAATAGAAATATTTTTAATCAAGTTCTTTTATTGAATTATTACCACTTATGAAGAATATTCTATTTTCCCTATTTAAATTATTAGGAAAATTGAAAGGAATGTGAGGAAATTAAAGGTGACATTGAATGTTTCCTGCAAAATTAGTGGGATGGTGCATAGCACATACATTTTAATTATTATACTGATCATTTCAGAAGTGTTATTCTTTTCCTTATGCGTAACCAAAACCAAAATGTGTTTACTTATTTAATTGGAAAATTAGAATTAGCAATTCTAGTAATATCAGTCTTTACCTATTTTGCTGCTAAATACTACGAGCACTTTATAAGGAGCCTCAAAGTGACATAAGAAACTGAAATGGCACAAAATATAGGACTCTTCATGAGGATGAAAAAATATGCAGACCTAAGGTGTTGTCCTTATTAGCTGCAGAATTTATAAGCTCCCAAGCCATAGCCCTTAAAGAATGAAGGAACATATACTTTAGATAATTAATACATTCTTCAAAAGCGTCAATACTAATTTCAGTCCCATTGAAGTCAGAAAACGGGTGTGTGTGTGTGTTTTATTGAACTGTGTGGACAAGACTTGTCTAAAAGTCACTATGGACTAGTTTTTGTGATATTCCTAGTTGTTCATGTTCTAGGCCCTGTCCTTAGACTTCCTGAGATGAAGTATACAGAAAGGGTTCTGGCAAGGGACAGTGGTATATAAATAGATGTTTCTACCATAAAAGCATTTTCAAGTTATAGATGAAAGCACGGTTTGATCAAGTGAACATTAACAATTCACATTCTGCCTTAGAAGAGTGAATTCACTCTTGGCCCAAAACCCATTATACCTTTAGACTTAGAGCATATCCTGTAACATTTCACCCCTACGACCATTGTGAAGTAGAAGAGGGAAGGGGGCCTTTCAAAGTTTTACTGAACTCTCTGCAGGTATACTGTCAACAAATCAAAGAGGTATATAGCACCCTCTTCCTCCTGTGTTTCAGCCCCCTCCTTTGAAGGTAGGCACACGTTGTCTTTTTGACAAACTTTCTAACATCCGTGAGAAAATGAGGAACCAGCCCAGGCATAGAGGTGCCCATAGTGTGATTGGAAGTACTCTGCACCCCCTTTCACCTCCACAGTACCCCCAGTCTTTTCCACTAGTCTCTTTATGTGTCTACTCTTAATTTGGCTGTGGTAGATTGGCCCTTAACCAAAAGTGGCCTTAAGAGAGAGAGCAGTTCTTAAATCTTTAACATGATGTCATCAGTGACTTTATCATTATTTTCCTCAGTAACTAAAGATTCCAGAGTGCCTAGGGAAAAAAAAGTGCTGAAAATAGAAGTAAGAAAAGCCATAAAGGTCTGAGAATTAAGTGGTATCAGGCTCAGAAGACAGACTTGGCTGACTTCTCAGTGTTGCTAGGGGCCAACCCCT